TAACAATTTTACTGACTCTGGCCTGGGGGAAAATGCCACTAAATACGTTAAATCCCTTAATACAGCATTTTCAAACCTGCAGTATGCCAGGAGATTGACTTTAAAGTGCTGTATCACACACAGAGAGAAAAGATGTCCTTATCCAAATAGCTGTGGCAAGTGAGAAACTAAAAATTGAGGTTCGAGTAAACATTCTGGAATTAGAACAATTGTGCAAACAAAATAAACTCCCAGACCCTGCATCTGCACTGAGTGGGAATGAACTCTTAGCAGGAGGTCAGAGGCATCCCCTTTTGATTCAGTCCGGAGTTAAACCACGGAAAATCTGTCTCCCTCTGTGTTTGTGCACCCTCACCTTTAAGCCCAGACAAAACTCAAAAGAATTAAAATGCCAAATTTTTCCATAAGCAACGGTATAAATTTCAGTTCTCATTAGGCAGGAGGATATTTTTAAGTAAAGTGCAGCCCTCCAGAAAAGTTTCTACCTGCCACAATTTGGGAGGCGCTCCTAGGACCTTGTAGGCCCATGTGCCTCTTTAAATGATTGAATTTTCAAAAATAGACTTGTCTTGGGGTTAAAGTTCTGTGGTTCTGGGAAGAAAATACAATCCCCACCCTCTAAAGCTTTAGGTAGGCTCCTGAGCGATTAGCTCATTCATTCATTCATTGATCCACTCAGATTTCTGTTCAGCAAACCTATTGGTTACTCCCTATTAGGGCAAATAACAAGCTGAGGGTATCCTAGTAAGCAAGAGAGACATGCATAGTCCAACAACAGAGGCTGAATCATTTGATTTTGGTGGTGCGTGTTTGTCTAACATGGCTGAACCCAGAGAAGTCAAAGAAGGTTGGCATAAACACTTCTGTCCAGGCCCTTGCCTTCCCAAGTGGTTAGTGTTACATTCTTCCCCATGTACCTTCTGGTACTTTCTCATCAGGAGCCACGATCTGAGAGGGATGCTTTCAGGGAATCTGTGGATCCCACAAGGTGCTGTCCATAGACTCCTGCACATCTATCCTACTTGTCGAATGAATTTGCTGGAACAAGATCAATACGTATGGGATACTTTTCATGAGAGGCATAAAAACATCATAGATTCTAGGGATGTCTTGTGCACAGGGAATCCCTACAAAAATAATCCCAGTTAACACAGTTTTCACCAAAAAAAAAAAAAAAAAAAAAAAAAAAAAAAAAAAGGTCACCTTTTTGCACTAGAAAAAGAATAATTTTCAGTTGTTAAAGACCACAAAAATTTTTTTCTTGTACTAAGAAATATCCCTTCTTGAAGAGCATCATTTCAAGCCTGATTTGAAACCGAAATGAAAGGGAAAAAAAAGAAACATTTCTCTCTCTGTTGCCGCCGCATGGACAGAGGCGATTCCTTTAGACAGCACCCAGGAGCGAATCTCAATACTACCACAAGATGGCAGCACATGACCAAATTTGCAAAGATCAAGACGCAGCTGCGATACAGGGATTATTTTTGCCTCGTAAGAGAATGTTCTATTCCTGCAGAAGAAAATACCAAGAAATAACAAAAAATAAGTCTTATAGTTTTTTTTTCCTAAAGCACATGGAATTCCAAGTTTAAGATCTGAATTTCACAGAGAAGTCGATTTATAGGAAGAAGCTGTGCCTAAAATGTAATTTGCTTTTTAAATTACTTCAGTGAAGTATACATATTTCCATATGAAGTTTTCTGACATTTTCTTTTCAGAATAAAATATTTTGTGGTATCTTTCATTAGGTGGAGGGGTATCTGTCCCCTAAGAACTCACACATTCAGGAGTGCTGACAGTTTTATCTCGACCAATCAGCCTACTTTGCTGTCTTTTTCCGTGTGCGCTATACATTTATCATATTTCTGCAATGTATTTATATAATCTCTATTATTTTGTCATTATTTTTATTGGGACCTGTATTGCCATGGTTTATTTGCTAGTGTATCTATTTTTTCCTTCTACAAAAATGTTACTGAAAATCCTCTTTCAAGAGATTTTCACCACAAACAGGCAACTACAGCTTTTATCTGTTTTTACAGGTCTGGTACAGTATGTAGGTTAAATTACCTAATCCATGGCACAGATATTTAAGAGACAAGTTAATTAAACCCACCTTAGTGAATACGAAACTAGTTCCGAGTTGTTTTGTTTTTTTTTTTTTTTTTTTCCTAGTTTAAACAGATTCACTGACCTTGCCTACCCTGGTGTCTGACCAATTACTTGAAAGTTCCTCTGTGAAACCTGTGGAGCAGACACGAAGCGTGAAAATCCTAATATTCCTTACCCAAATATTGTCATGTCAAGAATCTAAGTTTTTCTAGATAGAAATGATCATTCTGTGGCCTGAAAAGTCCTAATAAATTCTGAACAATTATAAACTGAGAGTCTTGCCCTAAGACAGAAGAGTCATGATTTGCAAAAAAGCAAAGCTTTTCTGACAAGAATTGTGTGATTTAAATATTCCAGTGATGCCCTTTAGCTATCCATACCTCATTTATAGGAAAAAAATATATACTAGACACAGGGATAATGGATTCTGGTTTTGTAGAGCTAGACGCCCTAAAGTTCACTCCCATTTCTTTCTTTTGTTTTTTGTAACCTCTCTAGGCCCCAGCTTCCTCCTATTACAAAGGATACTTTCCTGCCAGTGTCCTTCCAACAAATTTTAAAGTTAAACATTAATTGCAAGGAAATGTGTTAAAGTGAGTATTACAAAAGGATCTAGTGGCAGGTCAGTGGTTGGATCACAAGATGTGCAGAGAAGGTCGTCAGCAGGTAGGCACTGATGTTCTATAAGTTAAAAGAACCCTGGTTCACGTCCAGGGCGAGCACAGTACCAGTTGCTGTCTTCTGCTAGAAAAGGGGAATTCCTAGTCTGTTCTTCTGTTTGATCTCGAAGTGTGTTACATTTGTCAAGTCAGTATCTACCAGTAAGGTGCCCCAGTGACATAAGGGCAGGTGTTGATTTCTGTGAGCATCCTCAGAAGTGCACCATGAGCTCATCCAGCAATTACAGCACAGCAGGACTCTCAGGTGAGGCTCTTCTTCCGTATCTGACCAATTTAGAGACACTTTCCCCACCTGCAGATGCAGCTAGCTATTAGAGATACCTTGGATGGGACTATTTTTGCTAATACTGAACTGTAGCCAAACATTTTCAGACACCAGACATGAGGACAATCAAATGCTTCTCTATGACCATAAAACCCCTACAAAGAGAAAGCATTTCTTTGTGGCCTACTTTGTACACACAATCTACAAAGGAAGGGTTTATAGTCAACTACCCTGAACCTTGGGAACTCTGCAGACTTGATTTAAAGGATCTGACCCCATTGTGCTATGTCATAGAATAAAGAATTTAGCTTCTCAGATTTCCTGGTTTTTTTTTTTTTTTTTTCCTTTTAGGTTAGGAGGAACATATTTATTGGCACATATTTATTTTTCTCATTTTTTTTCCTTTCTGTTGTGGGCCATTGTGCATTCAGAATACCTGTACTGGCTTGGCTACAACATCAGACCTTCACAGACAAAGCTCCCGTCTCCATGGAGTGCAAAGTCCAGGAATTCATCAAAGCATCAAACACATTTTTCAATTTAAACTTAAATGAGAGCTATGAAGGAAAGCAGAGTTTGTAATAAAGAGAACTAACTTGCCAAGGAGATCAAGGGAGATTTCCTTGTAAAAGTGAGAACTAAATTCTGAAGCTGAGGGAGATTTCTAGAAGAGGGATCCTTGGGCCATATGCCTCATGGCAGAGGAAATATGGTACCAGGAAGATCAAAGGAGAGCTGGTGAGTGGATAGAGTTTGATGAGGTTGGGAGAACAGGGGAACCACAGCAGTGATGCTGAGGATTTTGATCTTTACCTTGGAAGCCATGAGAAAGCATGAACAAATTTCAAGCTGGACCTTAAGGTGCCCAAATGCCCAACTTGCAAAGCTCCCCTTGGATGAAGGGTCAGTTTATTGCACTTCTTTAGTGAAATCATGTTATTCAGGAATACAGGGCTGCACCACAATGGTCAAAGCAAAGAAAATCTGTATCACATGGCCAGCTGGACGACTGTGTCTGACCACTCTTAAATGGACCCTGAAATTCAAAGTGGGCTCGTATGGGAATTTTATTTATTTCTAAAGATCCAAGAGTATTCTGGTTTATTTTATTAGAATACTTAAAAGACTATCTAAATATTTAACATATATAATCTCTTCTAACCTTGACATTTATTTTTTGTGCAACATTCTTTGAAACCTACTACATACCAGAGACTAATCTAAGCCCCAAAGATCCAAGCCAGGCACCACTGTGACCCTCAGGGAGCATGTATTCTAATGTGCACAGAGCACAAACAAGCAGATAAGCAAATGTTTAATATGGTTGCTATGGTTTAATATGCTTTAATATGGAGATCAGTGTTACATACCTTAGTAAGGAATAGTAAAGAAATACAGTAAATAACAGTGAATGTTGCTTTTGAAAAACTGATAGGGGGTCCTTCCTAAGTTGGTGACATGTCAGCCCAAAGTGGCTGGGCGAGCAATAAAGACACAAGAGAAAATTTGGAGCAGACGGAGCGAGCAAGTACCAGGTTTTCAAAATTGGAGCAGACTCACTTATTTGAAGAGCATGAGGCCAGTGGGTTCAAGTGGAGGGAACGAGAGCAACATGGTTGAGTGGGAGCAGGAACCGAGCACAGCCTATGTGGTTGCCAAGTTTCACATTCCAGTCCCAAAGCTCTCATGCATAGCATGGAGCACCCAGGATTTGTAGTCACAAATACATTTCTGCCACCTCCAGTTGCATATTTGTTCCAGTCCAACATTCTCTATCTGCCTTTCATTCAATCTCCAGCAATCTCTTTTCCTGCTAAAATTGTTTCCTGCCTTTTCTCTCCATCTCCTTTCAGTGGAGAGTACCTGTCTACTTTCATGTTGATTCTCCGTTGATAAAAACAATTTTTTACATGTTTTTCTTTTGCTAAATATTTCTTTTTTAGAAATTGGCACCACCGTGCACTTCAAGCAAAAAGGTATGGTTTTATTTCTGATTCCCTTCTATATGTTAAAATTAAATTCATAGCAATGTATTGTGGATTTCTCTATCGAAGTTTATTTCAGTTTGATACTTTGTAATCATAATTTGCGTCATACACTTAGCATTATTTTCCCAAATTGTGAACTCTCTTATCTGCAAAAGACCCTGATCCAGCCCGTGATTCTCATGTTGTTGTTGATAGTTTTCACTTGTTGAACCTGGGTCTTTGCTGCATTTTTCAACCCCTGCCTTCTCTATCTCAAGTGCCCATGTGTGATCCTTGCGTAACTGCAGCTCTGAAATAGTCCTTGCCCAAAGCCCACACTATCTGAAGAGAGAACTGGGTTATTTTACAGGAAGATCACCTATCACTCATCACCTATTAAAATAAATACATGGCAAGACAGTACACCTAGACTAGGCATAGCAAGAAAAGCATCTATTAGAATGAATCATTTGAGCAGATAATATTCCCAGGCATTTGTGAATATTCCATCTTCTGATGCTGAGCCCTGCTGAGGAATACAATGGTATGGCCTTCATCTGTCCCATGCTCCTGCAGCAGCCCCATGACATAAGCCACATATTTTCTCTACCAAGACAATACAACCATGTCAAAGCCTCATAAAACAGACTTCCAAATGAAAACATTACTAATTAAGAATTCCTCCTTACAAAGCACAGTGGGCAATTCCCAACAGCATCTGTGCCCAGTGCAAAGCCAGGTGCCACTCTGCATAAAAGTCTTCATGCTCATCTACTTGACTAAAATTTTTCTCACGTGAAGATTTCTTCTCTGAGCCTCCAAGAGAACTGTGATAATTGAGATCATTGTACATGCTGAAAACCTGTTTTCATTGGATTTAAGCGATAGGGCCAGCTTCCAAGAGCTACAGAGGGCATGGTCTCTTCGTTCCTTCCTCTCATAAAGGGCCAGCACCTTGTTTGTAGCCAGTTCTAGCAGGTCACAGAAAGAGGCAGGAAACAGGATCATTTGGAGCATGAAAACTCTTGTTTTGGATTGAGTCTGGATGTCCCTCCAAAGATTCATGAGGTCCTGAGGGGTGCACCCTTTGGAGGCAGCTGAATCTAGAGTTTATGATTGGTTTGTTGTCTAGTGCTGGGATTTGGAGTGTGAGTGCTACACCCGCGCTAGGACAGGTAGCCTGCATGCAATATAAGGGGTGAAAACAGGCTGGCTCTTTGTTTTTCGCTCTTGTTGCTTCTGCCTTCCCAGCCTCCACGAGCTGCTGCCCCTCAGCCACACCACTCTGCTAAGAGCCAGTATTGAGTGAAACCTCCACAAACTGTGAGCTAAGCAAACCTTTCCTCCTTTAATTTGAGCATCAGGTATTTTGTCTCAGCAACGATAGAAAAGTAACTAAGACATCTCTGCCACTCTTCTTGTCTCCCAACTCTATGATTACTGTATTAATAATTATGCTTGATTCTTAATTGTCTAGTGTTCTATGTGACATGGCAGGCTTTTGATGTGGATGACAAGATACGCTCTCTCATGTTACAGAAATAGTACCTAGAATTTAAAAATGTGTGTGCCAAAATACTGGACCCTGTTTTGATGGGAAAAACTTGATAATTCCAACTTTTCTACAGAAATACTTCAACCTACCCAAAGCTCACCTTTACAGAGGGTGAATGTAATGCATAAAAATTCATATTGGAAGAGTCAAGATTTACTACTAAGATCTGCACTCAATGGAAACGTCATTATACGCCCTTCTAATCTGCCTTAGCCTGTGCAATTACAGATTTCCATCTTCAATCCACCCAAAGGCAGCTGTACTGGCTGGAAGTGGCCAGCAGGTGTCAGCAAAATCAAATCAAATCTTACTGCGGTCACCTTTTAACATGGCTCCGCAGAGCACTGATATGCCTTCTTAGCTTGCACTTCTAGAAAGTATTGAAGAGAGATACTGAGGAGATTCTGTGGCTTTCTCCCTTCCTTTATTTAATAATTTTTTTTACATTGTTAAGGTATCCTGTTTTATTGTCAGTCGATCCATTAGTTTTTAACAATTCTAAGAGCAAATTGTTTTTTACTTTAAAGTATCTTGTTTATTGTCAGTCAATCCATTATTTTTTTTTTTTTACAATTCTAAAAAGAACAAATTTGAAAACCCCTCCAACCTTTTTCTCTTTTTGTACGGCTGAACTATATCCAGAATAAAATTATGACTAAATTTGGTTCTTTAGGGGCTAAAAGGAACGCTCAGGGATTACAAAGAACATAATTAAAGACTATTTGTAATAATCCCAGTCCCAAATCCAGGAAATGAGCCCTCAGGACTCAGAAAAAAAGAACAGAAAACCGTTGGCCCCATTTGAACTAAGCAGCATCTCTAAGCGTATACTCTCTAGAACAGGTGTTGAAAAACTATCTTTGCTTTTCTTTTGAAACTTTACTGAACAACTAATAATTTGACTCTCGTTTGTAATGTGGTGGCTGCCCCAACAATTCTCATATCCCACAATCTCAGGCTGTTTTTCGATCTCGCCCTTCACTGCAAGCATTGCAAATCCTTCCGTAAGGATTACTCTGGCAAAGTGCAATCTGATATTTGCCTGCCACAGTCTCCTTTGCCCTGTTCTGGGACTGAGAAATGATGTGGTGTATTGATTCATGGTTTACAATCTTCCTGTAGCTAAAATTTGCCCCTTTGAAAATCCTTGACCCAATTCACAAACCAATGTCTTTTGATTTAAGTCAGTATTTCATTCATTTCAGATATCCACATTTTTATGTCAACAGCAATTATAATCATGGTATAGTTTACTGAATACGTATGAGAAACCTCACATACCAATGTGTATGCATGCATTTAACACATATAGAATTTGGTTAAATACCAAGACATGATTTTTGTCTGTAATGGTGGGAGCATGTGGCCAGTTTTTGAATCATGGTTTTATTTGCCTATCTATTCTTAAGGCTAATTTATGTTTGCAGACGCTTGCTTTCAGTATATCTATCAGTATATGAAAGCACTTGCTCAGCCTGGCCATCTGGCATAAAAAATAAGATTTTTCATTTGCATTTCCACAAATAAACAGAAATTTCATAACTATGAACTAAAACATAATTAATGATTTTGCTGGTTATTCTTCCCTGAAATAGCCATTAGCTGAAGTAGTCTCCTATGGCACTCATATACTTCTGTAATTGCCTACACACTTGTGATGATTTCCCAACTATCACCCATTTATCCTGGTATTTTTCAAGTCTATTTATTGAGTCTCAAAATCAATTATGACAAGAGCAAGTCATGTGAGCATTTTAAATAGCTATATAAAAGCACTTAATAAATAATAGTTGACAGAAACAAAGAGCTCTTTAAGATATGTACACCATGCAATTTAAATACACTAATACTATTAAGGATCAAATTAAAGACTATTGTTATACTCATATTGACTAATATGACATAAAGACTAATGACTATTGTTATACTCATATTGGTAGTTTTTGTTGTAGCATAAAATAGCATATAAAAGTAAGAACTAATTTTGTACCATGTATACTAAAAAAAAGCAGAACATGTGTATATTATATATGAGTATGTGTACAGCTTATATCCTCCCTTCTTTGTGTACTCATATAGATGCATACAGGTGTTAGCCAGAATGCAAGATTGTTACATGTGAACATCTTTGTCCATATATAGGGAGTATTTTCAGTGATTATATTTTGCTTTCTTAAATATTTACCACACAAATAAAATGATAAGTCTAGGTTTTTTGGCCTTCCACACATACCACTCAACTCCAAGATATCAGAAACATAATTTAGCATATTTTGTGGCTATCGATGAGATAATGGAAGTGAACATACATTTTCTGAGGACTGTCAATTTCACTTTCATTTTTCCTTGACTATATAGTACCTGAATGTTGTGCAGCTTTTCTCTGTTATGAAAGTCTCACTGACACTCTAACACAATGTACCAAGAAGCTGATGCCATCTAATGTTTTTGAAGGAACTAAATAAAGAATTCTACTCAGTTGGCTTAAAACCCTGGGACATTTCCACTGAGAGAGCTTGAAGGTCCCCAAAGTTCAAAAAGTCTATGGGTAGAAGACAAGGCGAGGCTGCCGTAGGGGGAACCCTGAGCTGAGTCCAGCTGTGCTTAGAGTGAAGGCCGAGTGGCGGTTACTAATCAGGTCCGGGATGCTGCAAACACAATCAGCTTGAGGCTGAACGCAGCTGAAGTGACTTTTATTAGCATGATCCATAGCCATTCATAAAGGCTGCTCCATAGCGGGTGATTATTTAATTTGTTTCCATTATGCCTGGTAAAGCTCATTTTACATAAAAACTACGCTACTCAAAGTTTGTGTACATTCGTATTTTTAGTGCATATGTAGCTGAAGCAAGCACAAGTTCATATTTTTATATCACATAGTATCCTTAACATTCCCAAGAAAGCATTCTAGCCCCAAACACTTTATTCGGAATCATTTTTGTAAAGTCAATGACTGTCTCTTTGTAGTTTGTGTGTGATTGTTACTGTTTTAATCCAGCCCAAATTTCACCTTGCCACCAACCACCCTTCTGCTGAGATTCACTGCACACTGCTGGCCAACAAAGGCTGGAGAGCCAAACGCTAAACTGAACACCTAGTCTCTGCTCATGTAAAACAAGTTTAATTATACACGTCACTCAGCACAAGTATGCTTTTGTATTTATAACAGTGCCCAGTAGACAGCTGTTTGTTCTTTTATTATTCTCATCACTGCTTTATTAATTACATAAAATTAATTACATAAAAATTAGGAGCCACTCTTGAATTGAGCGTTTCCCTCTGTTATCCTACCTGCAAACTGACATGTTTAGGAAATATTTCACATACCAGAAGTTACTTCTAACTACTGCAATCATAAACCATCATCGTTACACACACACACACACACACACACACACACACACACTGAGCTGCATAAGTGCCCTAAAATCTTCAAAGGGACCCATAATTACAGTTATATCAGTTTCTTTTTCGAATGTCATTATCTAAGTCTGTAGCCTCAAAGCCAAAATATCTACAGTGGTTTTTTTTTTACTTTAATGGAATACGAACTTTTGGAGAAAAAGCAACAAAGCATAGGAGACAAGGTCTTGCCCCAATCCTCTTGCTGTCAATACACAAACCCCACTCCAAGGTCACCAATGCCACTGTCACTGTCTGACCAACACCACTTCTCCAAAAGTCCAGTGTTTGCAATCCCAGGGTGGCAGAGGTGGCAGACTGTCATGCCTGGTTCAAGTTCCAATCCAGAACTGCTGTTGGTAAGGCCTTCCCTTTTAAAATCCCCAGACTGGTTTGTTTGTTTTTCTGTTGGTCACTGATTTGGTTTCTTGTTTTTAGAGTAACAAATGACATGGAGCAAGGTGACCCATTTTCCCACTTAATATCTATGATATGTTGACTTCCCTTTTACCTTGATAAGGCACCACTCACCCATAAAAGCTATTTTGTAATGATTCCCCTCCCACTTAATGAGGAGATGATTTCTCTTTCTCTAAGAAATTGAGGCATCATGGATTGGTAAGACATTGTATCGGTGATGTGATGAACTGAGAGAAATCGTTCACATCCGGCTGCTGAAGGCCCCTTGGGGGCCAGTGCTGGTCCTACAGTGAGATGTGGACAAAGCAGGCCAGAGGAGTTGGTAGACAGCACACGGCACATCAGGTAGCGCTGACGGCCAGGTTGGGGGCCGCTCCTGCAGAAACACTCGGGATTTGGAAGTGTTTCAACAAGCAGTGCTCTTTAACATACCTAATCTCAAGATGAGGATGATGAGGAAGGATTTAGAGCCCTTCTTGGACAGCATGCAGAGCACAGACACGGAGCATCTGTATCTGACCACATCTTACCTTGCGTCCTAGCAAGAGTCGGCTGTAACAATAAGCAATGAGGTTTAACTATTCTCTTTCTCTCTCTCTCTCCCTCCCTTTTTCCTGTGCAGGACCTGGGTCGGTGAGAGGAATAAACGGATCCATCAGTCTGGCCGTACCACTGTGGCTGCTGGCAGCATCTCTGCTCTGCCTTCTCAGCAAATGTTAATAGAATAAAAAATTTAAAAGTAATTTAAAAAACACACAACAATGTGTCACACCAGATACAGAGAGAGAGAGAGAGCACGTGTGCAAGATGGTGGGGGGAGACTTCACAACTTTGTGTGTTTATAAATGAAGGGGTAAATACGAAAATGAAGAAAATCCAACATTTAAAGCAATTTTAAAGTCCATCAATAAAAAAGTTGAGCATAATTCAGGGTGGGAAATGAAATGTTCTACCATGATCTGTGTATATCTACTACAAATGAATGCCATGTAAAGGCATCTGGATATTGTAAAAAATAAGATCAAGAAAAACCACATGGATATTCACCACCATCACCCCACACACACAATTTGCCCTTCCTCTTCCATCTGTTTTCTTCTGTGGGGAAAAATATAAGGTCTTGCCTTTGATGTTTATATTTCCATAATCTGTTTATTCTGTTCTCATTTGAGCTGACTGATAGCCATTTCAGACTATTAATGGAATCTTGTGTTGAACCTTTATCAGACTACCCTGCCTCCACTCTTTCTCCAACTTTCGAGATCACCCCTGTATTTCCAGTGTGTTTTATCGTCCCACAACCACACTAAAGAGTTCTCTTTATCCAGCCCACCTGACCTCTCCTTGCCCCAGCGCCCTCCGGAATACTTGTCACGCCGCAGATGGTAGGAAGTGCCATTTTAAGTTTTTCCATTGTGCGTGTGTGCTCAAGTCTCTCGCTCTCACGTGAGTGCACATGTGTGTGAGAGTGTGTGTGTCTCTCTCTAAAGCATGCCAAGGGAATGGTCCATGTGTACATAGACTCATTGTGCTGTAGATACTGTCCTGCATTGTAATTGTGACATGCGGCTGTAACGAGTTGCTGGGGGAGATGGCTGGGAGGCAGGTAAGGAGCAGACTCCTCCATTCATGGCAGTCATAGGACATCAGTAAGGATTCAAAACAAGCTGTGTCCCCTTCCAAGGGCAGGACCCCATATTCCTCCTAATCTCATCTTCAGAACCCAGTCAGGAGTCACTCAGAATATCACTGTCAATGAAAGTGCCTACTATCGATGGGGTGAGCGAACAGATTTCACTGATTTCATGAGTCTGAGGGATTCATAAATTTTCTGGCTTTTGACAGGCTTGGGCCTTGCTTCACTGCAGAAGTGAACAGCATACGCTGAGCAAGGCCCCCGCAATGGGAGTGTTAAAGTGTTAACTCCATGAGAAGAGTAATGAGCCGCATGGAGATACCGAGCAGCCCTGTTTTGCTTTCCCCCAATCTTCAAACAATATTGCATTTGCCCCATAAATTTCCCTGAGCAGAGATCATTTCCTCTTTCAGACAATACAGTGAGTGTGAGCAAGACAGGAAAAGTGGACAGATGCCCCTGGCCCTTCCCCACATTCTGTAGATACTGCTGGAGCACTAATTTGAAACACCAATACTAAAGACAAAGAATTCACTTCTCGTGCCCCTTTGTAATGTTTGTCCTGGTGTTGTAGCTAATACCATTGTTGGTTGCATATATCACCCCTTCTGTTCTATAGATGATGTCTGTACCTCCATTGTTATAAAGCTCATCATTATACCAGGCCAGGCCACTAGGGAATACAGTACAGTCACATCCCTTGCTCTATTTAAATTTGCATCTTTACACATCATCTTGGCTTTAACACAGACATGTGAGCTAACTCCTTAACCAAGAGATTTGGGTCACTCGTAATTAATGTAGGTAGAAGTGATATGAAAACCACAAAAGTTAGTATCACCACATAACCTGAAGTGTTTTCTTAGCCAAGATCTTACAGAGGAAGCTGGCTCTCTGTCAAGAAACTGTGCATTGCTTACACTTAGACTATAGGAGGCCCTGGAAAGTGGTTTGGCTTTTGAAAGGACAAAGGCGATCATAATTCAATACAATACCACAGAGTCAAATATAGTAGCTCATCAACTGCTTGAACCTCGAAAATGACTGTCACATGATATAAAATGACAAATTTCATAATTGGAAATTTTGCAGTTTAGGCATGCAAGAGAGGAAAAATTATAGATAAGAGTATTTTAGGCAGATCCTGAAACAGGACAGAAATTTTTATTCAAGAAGGTAGTTAGCAAAAAAATAAAGAGCAAGTGAGCCATATTCCTATGTATCATAACTTATTGACAATCGGGGATTTCTCTAGCTGTTTGGTCTTCTTAATATAGAAAAAATGGTTATTACTTTTAATGTCATACATTCCCCATGTGTGGAAGAGTCACTCAGTCCTTAAGTGGAAACTTTGAAAGAGTTCATAATCATTTTAAAGATGCATGAAGAGAAGAGGAACAGGAGTTAACTCTGACATCATTGTCACCCTTTCAGCGCAGAGATCTGTGCATGTCACAGGCTTTATTCATGTGCCTGGCCTTCTTATCATCTACATCCTGTCATAGGAAGAGGTCTTGGTGTTATGGGAGAAGCAGCTCCACTAGAAGGAATGTGTTGGCCACATCAGTATCATTGGTTATCTTGGTTTTAATATAATGGACCATACATTAAACATAATTAAACAAATATTTTAAAATGTGGTGTTTGCCTATATCTTGCAAGATTAGTGATTTTAATAACTTCATTTCTTGCTCTCATTTCAGAGAAAATACTGGCCCCAGAAATCTCATAGGGTAAGGAATGTCTCTAGGTTTTGCAGAGAATGAAAATCACTGCAATTTGGACAGAAGTTGAAAATAAATGTAGGCTCAGGATATAGACACCAAAAAATCATCAAATCATAAGTGACTTTCAAATTTAATTCATTATATTATTAGCAATCTGTTTAGGAGTCTTACCTATTGGCAATCAAAACACTAAAAAGCACCAGCTTTGGGAAATAATATACTGAGAGGCATGGAATGCATCAAATAATCTCAATGGCTAATATATCTCATGGCAATTGTATACAAAATGAAACTCCCATTAATAAAACAAAATCCTTAGCCCTAATTTTCAGTTAAGAAAAATGGAAGTAACACTTCCTGAAGAATGACCCAGAGCACTTCCTGAAGAATGAAAACTCTCCTAGGTTTTACAACTATAGAATTTTAATTATATTATCTGTGTAGATGCTTACTGGAAAGTTTTTGCTTTGTTAATGAAAGAGCTTTTCTTGTTTTTAAGACATAAAATCCCTCTATTCTAGAAGAATTAAAGCTAATGGAAGAGCAGCTATGCGTTCTATAGGGAGGGATTCCTACAGGTCTTTGCCTTCTCTTCCAAGTCAGACAGACTTCTCTCTAGCCATGGGCACTTTTTTTTTACTATGTAATCAGACACTTGGGGCTATAATAGAGACCTTGTAAAAGTACTCGTGATTTTCATGTTCTTGGAGGATAGAAACAAAAATCTGTTTCACCTCTGATAATGGACTTACCTCCTTTGCACACAAAACTAAAACTCCTCAGCATGAAATTATTTGAGTTATTCTTTATGGAGTTCTAATCATCTTACTCCCGAGTCACACGTTCACCTCTGCGTTGCTTATGCTTTGACTGTTTTTAAGCCAAGTCTTCTTGAACGTCTCATTTTCTTTTTCGCACGCTTTGAATTATTTGCAGAAAAAATAATACATGTGTGTGTTTTTTAATCTTTACAGATGCTATATTTACAATAATATATGTATTATAAGAAAAATTTAGTGTAACAGTTTAGATTTACATGGGAGAAAAGTAATGAATTTGGTTTATTTTTTAAAAAAAGAGCTATGCTTCGTTAGAAAGCCCCATTTTGCCCATTTTGTAACTATTTTGCTTAAAAGAAATTTGTTTATGGGCCACATACTTTGAGAATAACCATATCCTTATTTTTTTCTTCATCCTTATAAACATGTACCCCAGATTTAATCTTGGCTCCCGATAATATTAGCTTTTATAGCAATATAAGTGCAGTGCTATCTCTGATGTGGAAAAAATATATAAAAACTTCCAAGACAAATGAACATATTACACAACTGGTGAGATAAGTCCTCAAGTTAAGTAACACATATCCTCTTTAGGAAGTCTCCTTTCTTAAGTACTTAAAATATTTCTCCTCAAAGACTACATTTGCCCCAAAGATATAAATTTTCCATCGTGGTTGACATAATAACTGTAACACCTCACTAAATGCAAAATGGAGTTTATATTTTCATGCATACTTGTGAGAAGAGAGGTAAACTATTCCTATTTGCATTTAGTTATGTTGTGCAAATGTCACCAACTGAAATTCAAGAAAGAATTTGTTTTCACCCAGCAACTTACATCACTTTTCTCTTGGCAAAGTGACTAGCTGTTAACATTAGGTTTAGGATTAACATTTGCAGCCATGGAATGTTTATGGATATTGTGGAAAACTTATTTAAAGTCTTGATTTCTTTTCAGCACATTTACATACTCTGTGCTGATTAATAAATTAGACACCAATCATGTGTAAATCAATGTAAATGCCTAGTTTATGTACATAATATAAACTATGTAAACTTCATTTTCCATGCAGGGCCCAAATTCAGCTAGACCTGTAAATCTTCAACAGAAAAATTCAAATGAAAATGAACAGCCTAAGTATTACACAGGTCAAAATGGAAAGTAGGTCTAAAGGCTGAAGTCTAAGGTGGCCTCAGCCAAAAGAAGCAGACCCACAGCTAAATTTTCAGCTTCCCCTCTGTGCAAGTCACAAATAAGTAGTTGATCATCTTGATCTTCGAGACTTGAGTGGGAGCTCTCCCAAATTTTGCCTGACCCCAAACAAAGCTAGAGGAATAAAGAGATAGAGAGGGACAGCTTGAAAGGTTCTGTGACTGTGTCAGCTCCTCGGCATCTTGGTATTGCTTCCTCACCATCTAAGACATCTCATTTAAGTAGCTGCAAGGACGTTACCTAAATTTCGATGAGGAAAAGATTACTCCAGTTTGGTTTTCCATTCAACAAAACATTGAGAAAGATCACTTCTAATATATTGTGGGATACCAGAAATGTTATATCCTTGAGAAATGTCTTGCTGAGTTATCTTAGAAAATAACTTTTACTTTAAGTAAAAGTAAAGAAAGTAGCTTTTACTTGACTTGTGTTTCTATACCTTTACACTGAATTTTACAAATAGGGGACAGAATCTTTTCAATTGTAAGTATCATAAGCATGATTCTTATATACTGATATATATATATATATATATATATATATATATATATATATATATCAGATGTCACCAACTGAAACCCAAGAAAGAATTTGTTTTCATCCCAGCAAGCTTTATCTCTGTATCTCTTTTCTTTCAGCAAGGAAGACATTTTTACTTCCTTATAATCTGAACAAAGGGTAGAGTCATCAAAGATATGACTTTAAAAATAGATGCTTTACAAGGACTGTTCTAGGATAATTCAGGCCACATTAACATGAGACTTAAATTTGTGCACCTCCGTGTAAAATAAAAACACTTTAAAGTAAAGTGGGAGTCGTATTTGATCAGAGGTCAAAAAAAAATTGCTTGTAAAGCAGCCCTAGTCGCAAACATCTATATGCTATCGGTAAATCATTTAAACTGTCCGATTCTTGGTTTCCTCATCCTGAAAGTGCGGAATTCTGCTAACGTTTTTTAACCTCTTTTGCCTCTTACCTCTGATCCTAAATAGGAAGTGAACGTTCCCTTCTTGCTGTGCCCACTTAATTATTCCAAGCAGCTTTTTGTCATCTCTAGTCTGATCTCAGAATCATCATGCTATTATCTCTACTTAAGCGTTTAAAACTTTCTAGAATACAGGGTCTTTGGATTGATTCTGTCTCTTCTATCAAAACTCACTAGCAATGCAGAAAAGGGATACACTTAGATTATACCGAGGTCATTGAAATAGCTGGGGTTTCTTTTGTTTACAGTATTATAAAATCTAACTCTTGAACTATATATAGCCTAATAACCTTCATAAGAAAGACAATTGCCAGATTGGACATTATGCTTGTAACAAATAAGGAATTTGTGCACATGAAAAGAACATCCATTTTGTTGTTTGTTTGGTTTGGTTTTGATTTGGTTTTTGCTCATACTGGGATGAATGCCTCATTATAGTAAAAGTGTGTCCTTGGCTTGAGCTGATGGCCACAGCATATGGTCCCAGGCAAGTTCAAATGGATAATCTGTAAGAAACAGCCAAGACAATATATTTTTCTTGAGAGAGATATATTTCCTGAAACTTGACTTATGGGCTATGAAATCAAGCAAGTAGAGAGGCAAAAAATAGGCCTCATTTTTGAAGTCCAGGTCTGTAATATCTAAAGAAGTAGAAAATATGACAAAAACATACTTCAGGTGGTAACAGTTGCAGACAGAATTATTGTGAAAGCCAAAATCAAATGTGAAAGTTAAGTTCTCCAAGAGGAGATTTAAGCAAGCAGGGTGGTTTTGAAGCAGTTACTGGGGAATTATTTTCTTCTGCCTTGCTCTGAATGAACTGAGCATGAGTTCATTTGCCTCACATTATCTGAGAAGTTCAGTTTAGCATCTGTCCCAAGTTATCTTTTCACTTATTGACTTAAAGGACAGAAGGAATGCAAGTCTCCCAAACCCTGAAGAGCAGGGCTTACTTAAATTTCCCAACATTGGCATTGCTTTGTGTAATAAGATACACACAGGGCTCAGAGCACTGTGTACAGATGTAGAGATGAAGTTCTCCTTAAGCCAGTGATGGCTTGTCCATCGAAAAGCTTCACGTTTCCATGGTTGTCTCAGAGGTACTTGTTTTTGGGTGGTGCTCCTGAATCTACTCCTACAGCTCCTTCTTCACTGCAAAAGCCTTCTCTATGCCTCGTTCCAGGTACAGTTAAAAATCTGCTTGTTTGCAAGGAAGAAAACACATGGAACTACTAGCTTCGTGGCACGCAGCAGCGAGCTTAAGCTACCCCGAGCTTTTTATAAACCCACTTCCCTGAGTCTTTGCTCTTCACCGGGAAATGCAAAAGACTTGTCCTGGTGAACTGTGGCCAGGTTCTGCTTTCTATTTACTGGGCAGGGTGGGTGGGAGATCTAAGGGAGGGAAAGGCTGGGGAGAGACACAGAGGTGAACTCCTCCCACCAGCTCCCCCCACCACTGCTTTACTGGCCTTCTCACTACTCAACTGAAGGTGTACAAATCCTGCTCTTGGTTAGAATCCTCCATATTAACAGTGTTATATACATATACATATATATAAATATATTTCTTTTTTCAGCCCTGTAGACATGAACTGATCTTCCCTTGATGATGCAAATCATGGCCATTTTTTGGTTTGGTTTTTCTGTTGCATAAAGTATTTTGGTTTTGTTTATTGGATGAACTTTTTCCCTGGATACTAGCCTGTGAAGGAAAATAAAAAGCGCGGTGTGTGTAAAAAAAAATAAAATTAAGAAAGATTTTTTTTCTTTTCCTTTTAAATGTATTTAAATTCTGTTTCTCTCTTCTGTTACTTTACACGTATGAATGCTCTGCTCTTCTGTGATCTTAAACAAAATCAATAAATGTGAAAAGGAGATGTGTCTTCATTGGCCTAAGTCAGTGACCTTGTTTTTGGCATCCCTGATGCTAAGAAATTTTTGTGAATAAGTTAGAAGTGAAGGCAAGGATAATGAAGGTGTATCCTGTGAAAGGGTCACACAAATACTGAACAATCATTTAAAAGATTTTTAACAGTGTATCATCTGCGAAAATGATAAGCTATATATAATAATTGCTTCCACTTAAGCAAAGAAATTCCCTGCATTTGTTTCACCTTTCTTTCTTTCTTAGTGGATCATAAGAAATAGCAACAAATTCTCACTGAAACACTACAGATAAAGCATTAAGAATTCTGAGGGAGAGCTTCAGTGAGCCCTTCCAAAAGGATACTAAAAGTCATGAGAGGGTATATCGTTCCTTTAAAGTCTATTACAAGGGTTGTCTTCAAAGAATATTTAACGAGATCCAATGTGATCGTAGGAGGAATTATTAAGTTTCCTCCCAAACTACCTATTGTTGATATTTTCAGAAATGTAGTTGTTCTCATTTTTGCTGAGCACTGTTGTTTCACAAAATAACTCCAGAACCTATACAGTCTCTGAAGGATTGTGCAAAAAAGACAGGATGTCTCAGGAGAATGAATTAAAGGACTCACAATTGAAAGAACCAATTTTGGCTAATTAAACAGTAGACGTGACTTCAAGCATCTGACCCCAAATTGAGGTAATTAGGGGAGAAAATGAGGAAGCCAGTTCTCGCCTGCATCCATTGTGATACATACCTGGACTCCCAGCATCCTGAGAGACTGAGGCAGGAGGATCAAAATTTCAAGCCCGCCCTGGGCCACTGGGTAACTTAGTGAGAACTTCACTCAAAAGAAAAAATAAAAATGGACTAAGACATAGCTTAGTTTAAAGGTCCTAGGTTCAAGTTCCATTATAAGAAAAGAAGAAAAGGATTTCAGACAGCAAAAATCCTTGTACTCTCTGGTTCAAAGAGACACCTGAAGGACCTAATTTCCTCATTTGTATTTCATAAAAAATCTGAAAATGTCCTTTTGACCTGTTTACCAACTTCCAAGCTATACACGCAGTCCTCAAAAAGATGAGTTCATTTCAGAGTTTGAGAATCTCACAGAACCTCATTTCTTATTAGCTGACTACAAACCAAAATGTTCTTACTACCACTTTGCTTCCAATAGTTTGCTAGAATGAAGTACAGAACTCAGCAAATCTTTCATATTTAGGATTCTAGTTTTATTACAGCACAAGAATACAAATCAGAACCAACAAAGGGGAGACACAGTGATCTTGATCTGGGAGAGATCAACATGTGAAATTTCCAGTGTCCTCTCCTTGTGACACTAGGACACATTGCATCTTAGCACATTGCACAGTGATAAAGAGGCATCATCAACTAAGGAAGGTTAATTTCAGAGGTTTTTTTTGGAGTTTGTTTACATGGGCATGATTGATTCATTGAACACACTCTCCAACTCCTCTCTGCTGCCCAAAGGGGATTGGACCCAAAACCCAACTCCTCTGCCACCTGCCATCTGTCCTCCCACCATTCTGAGTCTCATTTGCATAAACTAACTGGGGGTCCATCAAGAATCATCTCATTAGCATAAATACATGCTACTCAAAAGGTTCAACATGAACAACAAAAAAACAACTCCCCCTTGGAAACTCTCAGGGAATTACTCCCAGGATCTCGAGACAAAAACCAACCAAAGGCTCTATTACCTATGTTCCATTACCAATTTTACAAAAAATAGTTGGAGATGAAGTTTTCCCAGATGATCTGAGACTTTTTCCTTAAGTCACAGAAGCTTTAAGAATAAAAAATCAATATTCCTTGTGGCTTTGAAATTCATTCATTTACAGCCACATTTTCCATTGTGTTTTCAGCCGCCAGTTACAAAGTATGTTTGAAACAGCATCACAGAGCTGCAAAGAAGGTGACTCTGACTGTAATATCTTAAGTTATGGCCACTGGAATTTCTATGCTTGTGATTCTTTCAGATCTAGCATGACACTGTATTTGTGACAGACTCAGCAAATATTCATCAAAATACATTAAGTTGTGTCCAATCCTTTCAACAAATCTGCCTCATGTAGAACCATTCTTTTTTGCTAATATAAAAATATCATAGATATAGCAGATTTTTAAAGCTTAATACACGTAACAAAAGAGTATGCTTCCCTCTCATGCAAAAAAAAAAAAAAAAAAAAAAGGAAAGAAAAGAAAAAAGAAAAAGTTATGCAAACATGGAAAATGTGACTGCTTGTAATTCCAAAACTGGAAAAGGCCTTCTCTTCACTTTCCTTCTTCAATACTTCCCTCCGACCCCCAAACTAACCTAGTTGTCATAATCTTCCATCAGTCCAAATCACGTACTGGATAAATGATCTCTCACTGTTGAGGACACATGGTGAAAACTTGGAACACATTGGTGACTGGCAGAATTTCTGATAAAGTTTTCAGCATGGTTAGAAGACAGAATATAAAGTAAAGTGGCCTTTATTTAAGAATGTGGAGAGAGAACCCCACAACCACTGAGGCCTGGATTTTTCTCTGCTGGGCATGTGTTGTGGGGGGCATACATATAGCTTTGGTTTGGGGTGGAGCCTAAGGGGCATTACTGATGCACAGGTAGCCCATTGTAACTCATTTCGCACAGGTAAACTGCCTAGGAACGGGGAGGGTGACCTCAAGATAGAGCCCCTTGGTTCCGCCTCCCGGCCTCCCACCACAGCAGCGTCCCATTCAGGGCAAAATCCTTTCAGTGATGATCAACTAATTGGATTATCTTTTTAAAATTTTTTTAGAGTTTTTTTGTTTGTGTTTTGAAACATGGTCTCAGGCTGTCCTTGAACTTACTATGTTGCCTGTGTTGGCCTTAAACTTGTGGCAATCCTCTTACCTTGGCCTTTAGTGCAGGGATTATAGGCACAGGCTTCTCTGATACCTTGGGTCACTTTTTATAGATGCAATTGATCTCAGTGAAAAGGCATTATGAACTAGTCATAAACTTTCAGAATAAAACATCCATTTTTATTCTAAGAAGTAGTACAAATTTTTGACTAGCTATGTTGTGTTTACCTTGGCTCATTTTACCAAGTCACCATTTCCATGTCTGACACCCCAAATCAAATAAGAAGCTTGCAGACTTTTAGTAAAGTTTTCTACTTCCCCCAAAAGTCTCTAACTTAGGCTGCATTTGTGGAAAGATGTTTCTACTAACAAGAATAAACACCACAAGCAAAGGGATCAGAAACGTCAGATGGGAAACTTAAGGGGGGAAATGTTGGCCTGGTTAAGAGAAATGGTTCATTTAAAGCCAAGAATACCTCCCATTTGAGTTATCAGAAGCAGCCAGTTAATTGCCAGTAGGCAAAGCTGTACAGTGCTGTGTCACCTACTGTGACCCCAGGGCTCTACCCAGAGATCTCTGTTGCATTAATACGGACCCCAAATCCTCAGTCTATGAAGTCATTATTTTCTGACTTTACCCAACCTACAGCACTGAGTTTTTCCTCTTATTCTTAACATACAAACCCCTGCCTAGGCTGCACACCAGCGATCAGGTATTGTAGCACAGTAAAGCATCATTGATTTGCCTAGAGCTACAGTATTAATATTTGAGCAAATTCTCAAAGAAAAGCAAAACAAATACATAAAAAATCCCAGAATCATGGGGACTCACAAAGATGAAAGAAAACTCCTTTTGGATAAAGACATCTCAGTGCAAGACAGTTGAGATACACACTCTTTACAAACACTGTATCAGGTCTGGTCAGCCCTTCCCTACTTAACACTTGCCCAGCCCTGGCCAGCACCACTGTTCTGAACCTATTAGCCAGGCTGGAGGTTTCCTGTAGTCCAGATAGGAAATAAATGGAACAAAAGGAAGCATGGGTTGTTCCTATTAAATACACAGAGATTTGCTGAGACACAAGTTTCTCTACCTAACCTTCAATCTCATCGTGCACCCACGTTCTAAGATGTGCACAGCCTTCCTATAGAAAAGACACAGACAAAGCTCTTGCTACATGCACATTAATCCTTCTTACTACAAATTCTATTTTCCAGTAAGGATCCTAAATCAGCTATCCCCTAAGGAGACTTTTTATTCCTAACAACAACATCTTGGTATTTCCTCCTCTTTAATCCCAATTTGTGATAGAATAATGGTTATATTGACTTTCCTAGTTTGAAGCACCATATATAGGCACTGTATTTTTCACCTTACCAAAGATCTAGTAAATAAGAAAATAAGAAATAAAAAAGCAGAGGTTAAAAAAAATTTCCCCATGGTTAGAGTCACTGTTTTCATTAACATCTTAAATGGTTATTTTTAATGGTACATTTAACTAAAGCTAACTTATCCATGGGAAGAGAATGTGGCATTAAGATCAGCATCTGTTGAACAAACTGAGGCTCCACATTCCATGATGCATGACTATAACACCAAGAATATTACATGCTAACAGCAGTCTCATTAGCATTAATGGCTGCGTTTAGTCCCACTTAAAATTTCCTCTATCTATAGCATCTGCTAAATGCATCATCCTTTTTGCAAAAAAAATGTACAAAATACAGTCATACTAGTTTCAAAGAAACTCATTCAAGGTGAGCCAATGTGTACAGTGATGAGAAATTTAAAAAAAAGTAATGCCGATAACTCTGGACTGACAATTGGATGATGCAAAAACACCATTTGTTGATGTGGTGTGAGATTCAGCGTGAAAAGGAAAGTGACATGAAACCAACGTGTGGCAAACAGGAACCTACAGTTGCTTTAAAGCTGTGACCAAGTAGTTCAATGGGAACAATGGAAAAAGCCCGGAGAAATGTGACGACTGGATTCCAATTACTACAGCTACTCCACCATTTGCTGGTTCCCTCTCAAATCCTCCAGAAGAGACCACTGGGGCCAGGGATTGTGCTAATCCACCTGCTGTCTGAAGGCCAGCTCCCATTCTCTGGGAGCTCATGCCTAGCTAGGAAGATACACATTTAACAGGAATACATACGTCAGTCT